CAGCATTAGGGCTCCAACCCTGAACTGAACTATTTCCGTTCCACCAGCAGTAGGACTCCAACCCTTAACTGAGCATTTTTCTGTCAGCCAGCATTAGGGCTCCAACCCTGAACTCAGTATTTTTACCTTATGGCAATATTAGGGATCCAATCCCGGAGTTGCATTTTGTAGACCAGAATTTTCCAATCCCTTCATCAACTCTATAAACTTTCTGGTAACTGACTCACGAAATTTTCCTAGTAGAACTGAGGCAGAAATTTCGTTCGTTTGTTTTTTCCCCGCAGGTCTGACCTCGAGACACACGGATCGAGACGACCCACGAGATGAGTCTCAACCCAGAGTAAAGAAAAGAAGAAAAGAAAAAAAGAGGAAGATGTTCCGAGATACTTGAAAAACGAAAGGCGGATCGCCCCAAGATTCGATCAAGGTCCCGAATTCTACCAATCCCGTCTCACTCAGCGCCGCAGAAATAAACAGGCACCTACAACTTGCAAGCATCAAGATTCGGATCGAAGTCTACAAGCGAAATCAGCTAAGACCCAAGGTCAAGTTGCAAAAGAATCATAGATAGGAATCTTGTAACTAGCAATTGACAAGCATAATTAGTTAGTTCAGTTTTTAATTTTCCTTTGGTTGTAATAAGGCGGTCGTTAAGTAGTAGTTGGCAACAGCAGCAGCAGTAACAGCAAGCATTGCAATCCCATGGTAGTCCCAGCTACCAAAGTTACCCGAACTACATTGACCTGATTCCTGTTTAGCCCAGGATATGTAGGAAATCTTTGAAGCGAAGATTCGGTCAAATCTTTCAAAATGTGCTTCACACGGAGTATTCCAATAAGCAAAAGTCGCTCATATCCGCTCACTTTATCTTTGCACGAAAACTCTTCGTGCTTCCGAACAAAGAGGGGCAGCTGTGAGCACGTGATTTTTGTTTCCGCGACAATCACTCCAAAAAGAAATGAAAATAATGGCAAATGGTTTTGCTGTACAAGTTTTAGATTTTACGTGGCATTTTTGTTAGTTATTTGTGATCTTGTTCGTTTTTATTTTTTATAAAACAAAATACAAAATGTGTCATATATAGTTGGACCATAATCCGGTTATTAAAAGGGAAAATCACAAAATATGCATCTTTTGTCCTATTTGTTGCCTTGGTGTGATTTTACCCACTTTAAATATTTTAATATGTGCAATAATTACATTAAGTTGTTAATTAATGGTGTTTAATTTTATTTAATTAGGTTTTGTGTTTAAAAATTAGAAAATAAAAGAAAAAAGGGGTGCAAATGGGTTTAAACTCGGATTGGGCCCATTTTTCTTTTAAACCTGAGGCCCAAAAGTAGCCAGTCCAAACAGCCCATCTGCAGGCCACCAAAACGACGTAGTTTGACACCAAAACTACGTCGTTTCAATGCCAATCCATCTCGACCATCAAACCAAATTGCTCCAACGGTCCAGATCACTCACCCGTAAAACCAACCCCGACCCCAATGCTAAATCAAACGACACCGTTTGATTAACCTTTGGATCCAGGCCGTTAATCTCGTCCGATCTAACGGCCAATATCAAGCCTTTCGATCCATATATAAAGCCTACCTCCTATACCCCGCCCCCTATCCAAATACCCCTCCTTCGTCCTCATCCCCTTCACAGACCCAAACCCCGGAACCTAGAGTCGCCCCCCTTTCCCCTCACCAAAAACCCGGCGGCATGAACGCCGATGACCCCCACCTTAACACCATATATGCACCTCACCACCAGGAACCCAAATCCACCAACCGCTTAGTTCGAATCAGCCCCCAGGTTCTCGAATCTTCATTTGAAGATTCGAGCAGAACTCCGATCTACACCGATCTACCCCAGGTTCATACCAGACACTCCCCTGACCTCCCTCGTGACCAAACCATGCTTGGTTTGGTCCGAATCTATCCAGGGAAACATAAATCCCAAATCTGCCTTTAGGAGCCCTAGGATTCTTCATGACTGATCTTTGTACGTTTGAGCCAAGTGATTAGGGTCTAATGGACCTTAATCGAAGTGTTTCTCATTTGAGAACACTTCGATTAAAGTCCTTTCAACCCTAAGAAAGATCAATTCAAATCCGAGCTAGGGTTTGCTGATTTTTCAAGATTTCAGGTATTTTTGTTTTCTTTTCTATCAGTTCATGAGTTTTGTTGTAATTAAATGTTTGCTTATTGCCCCAAATGTTAGTTGATTTTATTTCTGAATTGTTAGTCGACTGTGTCATGTCCACCTTGCCCGGACCTCTGTATTTGGTCAAGTCTTTCTTCGTTCACTGATAATGTGTGTGTGTAAACTGTATAGTCAGTTGAATTTGAAATTGGTCGATTATTTAGTTCCCAAGGTCATTTTGTTTTGACAGTGCAATCTGAACCCCGTGTTGATGCTGTTAGATTTCTGATCATTGGCTTCGACTGTATGTGTTACAATTAGTATAGTCGAGTCGATACACATCGTCAATAAGTTCAAGCTTTGAATGATAATAATTTGATTGGTTTTTCTGCTGAAGTCCTACTCAAATCAAATTAGGAATTGAGTATAGCTACTTATAATTGTTGTATTTGAATCAGAAATTTGAGGATTTGGTTTGTTAGCTGCAGTCTGAATTGATGGCATGTGCACTTGTGCACAACATGTGCATTAAGGCCTTTTAGAGATTAAAATAACTTGACAGCATATGCTGTCAGGTTATATTCCTGCTGCCCATGTCTGCTTTTAGTTTAATAAGGTGATTAAAAGGGCTGTCAGGGAATCTCATGGGAGGGTTTCTAATTTTAAAATGTTGAGTGGAAAGACAACAAGAAAGGAGGGGGTTCTGATGTGTTTAACAGACTAAAAGGGCTGATGTTAGGCTATAAAAAGAGGCAGAACTTCCATGAATTAGGGACTGAATTTTAGACTGAATAATAAAAAAGAGGAAGATCTTTTAGGGAAAAATAGAGAGGCATATACAGACATACCTTGAGTGAGAAAAACACAGATAGAGAAAGAGCAAGGAATAGGAAACATACAGACAAAAGCAGAAACTATTTCTTCCTATTGTTGTTTGGATTTCATTTGTTTTCAACTTGTTGAATCAATACTGGTTCTTCCAAGTCTTTAACTGGGTTTTACTGGTTGGTTGGTCTTATTGGTTCATTCCTGGATTTGGTCTGCCTGAGTTCTGATTCTACTCCCTGCTTGTTGCTGTCATTTTGCTACCTTTTCCCTCGTCTATAATTGCATCTTGCACTGGAACTTGTTCTGCTACTACTTATCTGCTACTGCTGCTGTTCGTTTACATTACTGCTCTACTGACTCTCCTGCTTCTTCATTGTAAGCATTTCCCAGGTACACATTTCGACCTCCGCATTGGTGTAACTGATTGTAACAATGAAAAGCATGAATTGAAAAATCTGAAGGAATTATAATCATCTGCTATTTTTATTTACAGCCTTTTATAAATGTTGTTAAGTTGTGTAAATTTTAGTTTGTAGTTCAGTATAGAATACATTAGTAAGTTTGTATTTAATTGAAGCTTATGTTGATCTAAACCACGATATGCGATTCGTTTAAGGGTATACAGGATGTAATTATAATTCACGGAGTATACAACCCTCAGTATGATTGTTAATTCAAACTCGTTCTTCAGCATGCTTTGAATATGTAGGGTAGATGGTTCTTTTCAATTTCGCCAAAATACAATACAATTTTAGACTCTCGCGTTTCAACTCCATTAGGCAGTTTAGGATGAGTTTTGAATACCATTAGTAGCATCCTTTTAAATAAGGAATTCTATCAATCCTGTTTAAATGAGTTAATTTAGATTTAGCTTAAGGAGTGTTTGGAATAAGTGTAGCATTTCATCAATCTCGTATGTAATTCCTTTTATCAAATTAAAAGCATGTTCCATGAGGTATAACGCTTCTTCACTTTGTAAATAATTAATTAGATGGTTAATAAGAATCCGGATTCGGCCAAAGAATATAATCGAATTAGCATGTATCTTTTCTTCTATTTTAGAGACAAACACATCAGAAATGTAGTCGCTTTAGGATATCCCTTATAAAATAATGAGACGAGCCTCGCCAAATTAAAAAATGCAAATTGCGGGGCCCTCAACAATTAATCACAATAAATACTTAGAATTTGGGATGGACTGTTTAGTAAGTTTCACTGCCTTCCCCAAAGATAATAACGCGTTAGACTCTTTAGGCGCGATTCAACTAAAATTACATTCTTAAATTCAGGTGCACATTGATGTGACCTAAATCCAAATCTCAACGGAGTCAAAATGTGTTAACAACTACAGGTGCATTGATTGTGACGTGGTTCGAGATGCATTTTCACGACGTTGCAATTCTATAAAAATAAATGATAATAATAAAAGCGGTTTAAACTTAATAAAAGCACATAAGTCACAACATGTATTTAAATCAGATATTTAGCCATTATAACAATTTAAGCGACCGTGCTAGAACCACGGGATTCGAGGGTGCCTAACACCTTCCCTCGGGTCAACAGAATTCCTTACTTAGAATTTCTGGTTCGCAGACTTCATTTGGAAAAGTCGAATATTTTCCTCGATTCGGGATTCAAGATAAACCGGTGACTTGGGACACCAAAAGCCAAACCTTTCCCAAGTGGCGACTCTGAATTAAATAAATAATCTCATTTCGAATATTGTCACTTAAATTGGAAAAACTCCTCTCGCGCATTTAACCCTTCGGGGTAGGCGTGCAAAAAGGAGGTGTGACAACTCCCCCTTTTTGGTATGCCTCCATTTCTGCGAACCATCTTCTGGAAACATTTTGACAGGTAAGCCATATCAACATCCTTGCCACTTGAATCATTGATGTGAGTCTTGAGTACTAGGTTCTTCTCCCTTTTGGGCACTCTTCTTTCATTATCCTTCTTTTTCTTCATTTCATAGGTTTTCAGATTACCGACAAGCCCATCAATGGTTAACTTTTGCAAGTCCTTTGCCTCTATGAAAGCGTTCACTTTGCTTTCCCAGGAGCTGGGCATGACACTAAGTATTTTCCTGAAAAGTTTGTTTCTTGGAATGATTCTCCAAGAGAGTGAAGCTCATTGATGATAGAGGTGAACCGAATATGCATGTCTTGGATGGATTTATCATCTTTCATCCTAAAAAGTTCATATTCAATTGTAAGCATATCAATCTTTGATTGCTTGAACTGTGTTGTTCCCTCATGAGCTGTTTGAAGAGCTTCCCATATTTCCTTTGCTGATCTACATGCCGATATCCTTTTATATTCATCAGGACAAATGGCACAAACAAAAAAAAAATTGCACGAAAATTCTTTTCTATGGCCTCTCGATCAGCGTCATTGAATTCCTTTCTCGTTTTGAGAATAGTTACAGCTGGGTCGCCAACAGTCTTGGTAGGAACAAAAGGTCCATCACAGATGACATCCCAAAGCTTGGAATCTTCAGCCATGATGAAGTCGTGCATCCTAGTCTTCCACCATCCATAATATTGGTCGTTGAACCTTGGCGGTCTGTACGTAGACTGGCCTTCTTCGAAGTTTGGCAGAGCAGCCATGAGGATCATTTCTAGGTGTTATCCTGGTAGAAAGAACCGACTCTGATACTAATTGATAGAATTTATGGGTCCACCAAACTATATAGAGAAACAGGTTCTCTATCTGTTCCCACAGAACACACGCACATTGCAGTAAGTAAATGACACAGAGGAATTTTACGTGAAAAATTCCCAGCACATGGGATAAAAAATTACGACCTACCCTTGTAGGATTTCAACTTTACTACTGAGCAACTTTAGATTACAACATATTGTAACCTATGAATTAACCTCTAAATCCCTTACTAACTTGTAACACTCTATTACAAGCCACTTTGTAATAACTCTATTACAAAGACTTTACAATTCGACTAACTCTAGCCAAGACACAAACACAAGGGTTTATGATTTACAAAGGGTTTCCTACGCAATGCTTCTAACTAAGCTAAGTAGGAATTACAAGTAAAGAACTTCAACAAAGATACAATACAACTAAGGACATATAATAACTCAATAAGTGGAACTGGTCCGTTGCTATGTTGTTCTTTGTTCTTGATGCCCTTGAGAGTCACTTGCAAGATTGATGAATGACTTGAGAATGCTTGATCAATTCTTGAATGTGCGAGTAATTTGGTTTACCTTATTTGATGTTAATAATTCATTTGTGACATCACTTTGAATGATGTAAGCAAGTTAGGTAAAGGGCATTCCCCGTAAAGTTGACTGCTGCACTATTTTTGTACTGTAGCGTGTGCAGGCAGCAGGTATACAGTTAGGGCAGTTGACTTGTACAGTCTCCTCGGGAACTGGTAGCTATCTGTTCCCTCTGTTGTTCCTTTGACTCTGAAGAGTTGAACTGTGTCCCCAACTGGAGACTTGTCGATCTTTAAGTTCTTGAAAATATGTATCATGTTCCTTATTTGGTTCTTAACAATATGTTTGTTAGATCATCAAAACACAACAAGGATACACATATAACCTATCATTTGGCCTACAAAAAAGTTAATGGTCGTATGGTAAGGACGTGTTGCAGAGCTAAAAAATTAATTATAAGTACCTTACAATTAAAATTTTAATTAGAAGAGGCATTCCACCTCGAACCCCAAATAAAAGAAAATTTGCTGAGGCTCCTGCTTTTTGGGAAGTGATAGTATATATTAGTAAATCTGTTTGTTTAAGTTTGCTATGATTGGTAAATCAAAAGATACGAACAGCCAAACTAAAATGGATGAGAGTTTTCATGTTTAAACAGGGATAATTAGTTGGTTTTCCATTTATCATCTCCTTTTCTAAAGACTTTTTAGTTGTTACTTATGGCCGGATACATTTGATTTCGTACAGCACTTACTCTTTGTTAGTCAATCATTCGCTACTAGTTTATTTTTTCATATATTGATAGCGTAATTGAATTTTTATGCAAATTGTATTTTTATAGTAGTACTTGTTTTATTTGATTAAATTACACATATATCCTTCAACTAGTAGAATTGTGCTCTTTGGTCCGTCCACTAATAAACGTTTACAAATTTATTGAAATTTTAATTATTAATACTACGATTGCTCATCTTTTATATCAAGAAGATGTTATCATGACTTTTAACATGTTAAGAATTTCTCAATTTTGTGGAAATGATCTAGTATAAGCCCCATAAGCACACAATTTACTAATTATAGGTAAAACATAATTAGTTTAAGACTCGAATACTACGAGAACTGAAATCATTTACAATCAGCTTAATGACCAAAATGCAATTATCCGTATCTTATTAATCATCTAAATTTATTCCAGTAGAAAATGACATGCATGCTAAATATAGAAGCCTTGGTTCCACGTAGAGTTGAAACTTGAAAAGTTGACAAATGAAGAGGAAATTATTCCAATCATAACTTTTTATCTTTACCTTACTGATAGAGTCATCTTCCAAACTCAGAATCTTTTACTTAACATTCTTAAATTCTTTCCCTTTAGGGTAATGTACCAAGTCTTCTTTTACTTGTATTTCGAAGAGTTAGCTACAAATCAAGATCCAAGCACCCCAAATCTTTTCTGAAGTCAAACTTGAAGTCCCTGAATCGGAACCTTGGTGTAATCGGTAAAGTTGCTACCATGTGACCAGGAGGTTACGGGAGCCGTGAAAACAGCCTCTTGTAAAAATGCAGGATAAGTTAAGGCTACGTACAATGGATCCCTGTGGTCCGACCCTTCCCCGAACCCCGCGCATAGCGAGAGCTTAGTGTACCGAGCTGTTCCTAAACTTGATATCCTCATTCATAATTTTTGTCAATAACTATGGTGTCTAAGCAAACTTGAACATATCTTCTATTTTGTCGAATAGCTCACTAAGACTTAGGTAAATAAAAAGAAATTATCTAATATTTTTTATCGCTAGTGGGATTATTTGAATTGTGGTCTTCCATAATTTTTATTTATTTTATTGATGGCTAGGCTATGTTCTTGAGTATAAAGTCCCCACTCAGTATATCCACGCATGCACTCCTTCCCTTCATTTCTTATATAAATAAGCATGCATCATTCCTCATGTAACCCTCGTAGCATAACCACAAACAAATAGGAAAACGCATAGAGTTCTCTTCATAAAAGAAATTACCCCTCTTAGCTCTATTTGTTTATCCTTTTGCAAAATCCTTATGGCTAGAACACTTCAATATTTTACCATATTTTTCCTTCTCCATCTTCTTATTTGCTCCATTAATATTCTTCATGTCACAGAAGCAAGACCAGTAGTAATGGTGAAAAATTCAGGAAAACCTTTCGTAGTGGTGAAGAACTCGGGGCCTAGCCCTGGTATTGGCCATAGAAAATCTGAAAATTCAGGGATAGCTGTGGAAGATGTTGACGGTGTACATGTTCATTCTGGCCCTAGTCCTGGTGAGGGACACAAGTAAATTATACTAAAGTTAGCGAATGTTGTTCGAAGGAATTTGGCGTTAGTTCTTCTTCAATGTTTAATGCTACAACTATATTGTCAATAAGAATTAGCAGTTCTTAAGAAGAGGTTGACATACTTTCTTATAGTTCCTCTTTTGTTTGTCTTAGAGGTTCTGGAGACAGACAATTTAGGAACTATGTATACCCTAAAACTATATTGCATGTAAAATTACTACAGTTATATAATATATTGATACTTTTTTGACCAAAAAGGGGGAAAAACAAGGCTTGACGTATTGACATAATTAAGTAAATAGAAGTGTGTTATGTTATCTCTAACAACTTCAAATTTTAGATGAAATAATCACTTATTTTAATATGATATCAGAGCCAGATCTCCAATATTAGGCCTCCAAGATAGATTGTCCACGCTAGCGGGAGGTGATGGAATCCTACATTGGTGCTGGATGGATTCCTTGAACTCTTTATACGGCTTGGGCAATCCTCGCCCTTTAAACTAACTTTTGGGGTTGAGTTAGACCCAAGGTCCATCTAGTATAATATCAGAGAGGCAGAGATCTTGGGTTCGAGTCTTACCGCCACCTAATATGAGAAATAATTTTCACGTGATTGACTCATCAAAAAGAATCAAGTCCGACCGTTAGGGGGCGTGTTGAAGACATAATTAACTAAATAGAAATATACTCTCTCTAACAGCTTTAAGCTTTTACATGAGATGATCACACACTTCAACTTCCTATACATCTCAATTTTTAATTTCACTGTCAATTTTTACTAATAGTTGAACTGTTGAAGGACCAAAAAATCTCAATTTTCCTTTGCGTCAAAAGATAGAAATCTATGACACTTTAGATTACAAAAGCTGGCTGCCAAGCTAAGTGGTCGTATTTAACGGCCATTTCAAATTAACACGCAGGGGAAAGGAAAATTAGCATTTCTAGTTACTATTTCATAAATAAAAATAATTAAACTTTCCAGTTATAGTATTGTTTATTGACATTACTAGTTGCTATTTCATATAGAAAATCATTAAATTTTCTAGTTGTAGAATAGTTTGATAATAGCTTAATCAAAACAAAAGAATGAAATGTGTCAAATGAAATTCTTTTACTCTTTGGAGTTAATTGATAGAATCGCATTACCAGTAAAGATTAAACGAAGCCGTACCAACATTTTAAGTAGGGTTGTTCATAAAAACCCGAAAAATCGAACCAAACCGAAAACCAAACCAAAAAGATACTTTTTGGTTTGGTTTGGCTCTAATATTTAAAAAACCGACTTATTTGATTTGGTTTCTTTTTAGGGAGAAACCGATCTAAACCGAATCATGAACACCCCTAATTTTAAGTACCAATAAAAGTAAATTCAATTTCATTTTTGAAGAATTTGGGGGAGAAAAAGTGACGTTTGGAGCACTTTGGATGAAGTAATTATTCTTTATCTTGAGCCACAAGAAACACAAGAATGGTATGTCTCTCTCCTCTTATATGGAGTACATATTTTGCTTAGCTGATTGTTATTAATTTTTTTTGGTTATAAATAATATAAAGAGTACTTGGGAGTAAATTATGGCCAAATGGCATGACCTTCAACAAGTAACAAGGCTTTTTAACAAATGTCAAGACTTTCAACAAGTGGCAAAACCTTTTCAACAAATGTCAAGACTTTCAACAAGTGGCAAAGCCTTTTCAATAAGTGTCAAGACTTTGGACAAGTGGCCTGTCACGACCTCAGTTCGCCCTCCGTGAACTATCATGACGGCACCTAGTCTTTACTACTAGGTAAGCTTAACAAATGTGGAAAAGAAACAATTTGCGGAAAGAAAATAATATAAAACCGAAATAACAAAATGAAATAGTGTTTAAGTCGCCGTCTGGCATATAACAGTACAAGAATTTCAACCTAACACTTCCCAAAATTCGGAACCCCGTGAATCACAAGCCAAGAGATATATTAGAAGCTCTAACTCCATAAATGTCTAACAAAAGGAAAATACTAAAGAGTT